AAAAAAAAAAATTTAAAGTTTTAAGCTGCTATTGCGATAGATAATTACAGATGCCAAGTATTAGCGGCCGGGTCATACATGATTATCTCGAAATTCAAAATTATTGTATTCTATTCAAGCCCATCTAAAACATATTTGATTTTCTCGAAACTTCTTAGCCATGGGGGCAAGGGTACTCTCCTCTCTAGCAGCTCAATCTACACTTCCTATCTCCATTTGGATTAACGTATCAGTTTAGGCACATTCATTTTTGTATAATTAATGTCTCATAAAACATACAAATAGTTCAGGGCAATGGTTTGACTTGGATAAGCCGAGGCCACAACCCCACTTACTATTTGCCCAAGTCATTATTACTCGTTCTCTCAATCTGCGAATCCATGCAAAATAAGGAGATAAGTACTTAATTCAATGATGCCTAAACTGCGAAAAAGAGACAAGTCCATAAATCTATTTACTATTTGTAGTTAAAATCCATTTGGTTCCTAGTTGGAATCAGAATTGAAATGAGATGATCTATTCTCATAGTATAAATGTGTGGTTCAGTTAGGAATAGGAATGAGAATTGGAATTAGCAGGAATGAGATTTCATTTTCAAGAGAGGAGTCAAGGAATGACAATTCCCTCAAATGGAAAAATGTCATTTCAGCAATAATGGAAATGGGATTCTGATTCAACCCAATCAAACAATTAGAATCGGAATATCCTATTGCAATTCCAATTCCAGACCCCTATTCTTGTAAATCAAATGGGGCCTCAGTGTTTATAAGATCATTTTAATTGCAAAAAGGAGATAAGTCTTTAAAATACAGAGGAAAAATCTACGATAACAAAAAGATGTGGTATGAAAAGAGCTTTGACCAATCAAAAACACCCGTGAATTTTGATTAACACCACCTAATTGGTCATTTCATTTATGATGCCAATTGATTGGTTGTGTTTTTCCAATATCATAATTGAACCTAAGGCAAATGCAGTATAAGTGCCTAACTAGGGATAGATTCGAGCCACACCTTATACTTGGCTATTTTAGCTCAGCTCGCCAAAACAATGCCAAGCTCGAGCTCAAGCTCGGCTCGAGCTAGAGACCTGAGCTCGAATTCAGCTTGATCTTGATTGCAAGTCAAGCTTCTTATAAAAAAAATAAAAATTATACATATAAAATATTTTTTACTTTACATACAAATCATCAATCTCAACTACGAGGCAAGCTCGTAAAAAACTCGATTTATTTCCACCCCTATTGACTACTTCACACTACCTATGGCAGTTGAAACTAGAGTTATTGAATAGACTACACAAGAGGTAGTAGTCGACTACCTATGATGGCCAAGTCTGTTGTCATACTAGCTTTGGGTAATAGTCTATTAATAATGAAATCGGGATATTCGACTATGTTTATCAATTGAGATTGAGTGTCCATTGCCCACATATTAATTGTATGCTGTCATAGGTGCACCCTGATTTACACCATTGGTCATACAGTCATTTTCCCAAACACTTGACATGTCCTCAAGAGTAGTAGGTTGTCATCAAGAATAATATCCCGATCAAAACACTTTGGCTACTTCACACTCATTACACCCTGAGAATTTGCATTACTGTCAGCACTTGGCAAATTAATTAGCTTCAGAGACATTGAGTTAACAGTTAACACCAAGAACTAGGGTTTAGTTTGCTTATAGTATTCTTAATCATAGGAGCAATTGAACTAGGGTTTAGTTTGCGTTATTCACTTGTTTCCATTTTCAAGTGTTTGATTGCCAAGATGGAATGATAATTCATGGGATGTTAGTTCCCAAAACTTTGGGATGCAGGTCGCATTGAAATTGTGCACCCTAATAAGAAAGAGAAACTATTTAGAAAAAAACTAGGCTCTCTTGAATAAAGCTAGAATCATCCTCTCACCGCCTCCCTACGTCGACAATGGTCAAATCTCTAGCAATGTTTCAAGCAATATCCGGCCAAGGTAAGACTACATCTATAACCCCCAAATCCTGGCGATTAATTTTTTTTCTGATTTTTGTGTTTTTCTCTCTAGTTTTTACGTTGGTAGAGGTGTAAATTGGGTCGTATTGGCCCACGTGCCATGCCAGTCTATGCTTTCATCCTCTTTGATACTTTAGAGGGTTAACCCATGCTGTGTCGTGCCATGTTACGATTTGGGCCAAGCAGGCTACATCTTGTGCCATGGGCTTGGGTTGAACCAGGCTAGTCCTTTTTTTTTCGACATTTTGATTTTTTTTTTCATTTTTTGCTAAGTGTCAAAGTAATACAAACTTTGGGAAAATAAAAATTTAACAAAAAATACTTAACATAATACAAAATAGACAACAAATTAGAAATTTTATTTCATTTGATTATTTGAATTTGAACAATGCAATGGATGAATGAAATATTGGAAATGAAATAAAATATAAAAGCAATATATAAATTGAATATAAAAAATTACATTGTTGAGAAGATAACAAAAAAATTTAAATATAAAATTTACAATAATTTTAAAAATGCTATACAATTATTGAATATATACAAAAAAATATTTGACTTCATAGTTTTTCTTAAAGTTCCACCTGCATCTCGTTGACTTTAATCATCTTGCTTCTGGAGAAACATCAGGAGAAGTGTCGTGCCCTCCTTTATCTTGTAATCTATCCTCAACATTTGGCCAATCTTCCAAAAGACGCACATCACCAAATATATTCACCATTCATGCAGCTTCTCTCGTTGTCCAATACCCTAACACCTGCACTAAAACAAGACTTTGGTGGATCTGTAGACACCAGAGTAGAGGTGTAAATCGGGTCGTGTCGCCAATAGCCCGGCACGACGGCACGTAGGCCGTGCTAGGTCCAACATAACCAAGTAGGCTGTGTCACCCGTGGCCCGGCACGACGGCACAAGGGCCATGCCAGGTTCAACATGACCGAGCAGGCTAGGCCGCTTGCGGCCCGCGTGCCGACACGGCCCGACCCATATATACTATTTATATATATAATATATTATATTTTCTATATTTATATATATTATATAATATATTATGTAAATTATAATTATATAATAATATATAGTATATAATATATTAATAAAATAAATAATTAATTTCAATTTTATTATACTAATTTATTTAATTATTGTATGTATAAGCAATTGTATACATCAAAATTCATATGAAATTAAAATTTTATTTTTTTTTCATTTTTTAAATAAATAGATTTGGCCCAGTCCACAGCCCACACTTTGTGCGAGCTGCCCACGGGCCGTGTTGTGCCGGCTTGGCATGACCCGTTTTATACCTCTACATCAGAGGGGTTAGTAGATCATGTGTCATGACTCATGACGACAAGAACTGAATTTTTTTTTTCATATTCACTCTACCGGGATAAAATATCAAAATTATTTAGTTCCTCTGAGTTGAAGGAATCAACTAAATTAGAAAAAGCTTTCTTGTAAATAAAAATTAGGGTAAAAGACTTACACCTCCCTTGACTTTTCCAAACCTCCCCTCTCCTTTTTAACATGGACTAATACCTCCCCTGTTTGGAAGTGTCATTAGAAAAAAAACTCTTTTTAACATGTGAAAGGTGGTATTTTTTTGAAACCCCAATTTTACCCCTTTTATTCCCTTTGCATGTTCGTTCATTGTATTTATAGAAAACTCACCCTTTAGATTTCAGTTATGGACTTCCATGCACTTTGTGATTCATTAATTGATAAGCTAAAAAAGTGTTAACTAAACAAATTTTATAAAAGAGTAATTATTTGTAAAATAAAAAAATAAAAAAATGAATAAACTCATCAAAAACTTAATTAACATGACAAAGGAATGGCGATTGTGAGCAAGCAGGGATTGCATATGCAATAGTGATAAAGTCAACAACCACACCTACACATGATCATCTTGTTGTCAATGAAAGTTGGAGTATATATCTAGATTTTGTATTTTCTTATTTAGATTAATTGAATTTTTCATCTGTTTAAAATGAACACCTAAAGTGTTATACTAGAAAAAACATCTGCTGGACAAAATTCTAGCTGACAACTAATCTACATGTACTACAAGCCCTCTCTGGCTCTCTCTGTAACACGCAAATGCAAGCCCACATGAACATTCTTCTGGGAAATGGTTTAATAAATTGTTCTAAGTTCAATGAATCAAATTGGATCTTGACTTAATGGGTTTTGTGTCAAGTCCATTTGTAGAGTTATTTCCTATAAATAACATAATTGATATTGATGTAATGGTTTCTGGTCACGTATCATTTTTTTTGGCTAAGTACCTCGTCATCTCGTCTGCTCCCAAGTGGCCGATGACTCAGAAGTTGAAGTGGAGCTCCCTAGTGTAGTGCAACCCGGCTGCTCCCTACAAGAGATGATCTGCTCATCTTTGTAGACGGCGGGAACTAAGGAACCCATCCTCCCTGCAGAAGATGATCGGCTCATCTTTGTAGACGGCGGGAACTAGTTGCCTGCAAGAATTGAATCAGAGAGCCCAAGGTGGTTTACCCGGCGGGGACACTCCATTGGCTAAGTCAGCACTTAATAGTGAGCTGAAAATGATATTAGAGAATGAGAGAGCTAGAGAGCAGAGATTACCCTTCATTTCCCTTCATTTTTTCTCCTCCTTTCTCCCCTAGGGGGTGAGGCCTTTATATACTGGAGTCCTTGTGGGTTTTATGGAGCAGTTCCTGGATTCCCGCTGTGATGGGACCTGTTTTCGTGTTAGGTGGGGATAAAGCCACCAACCGGTAAGGTGGTCCAT